ACGGATCAGCCCTAAAGACAGATGTAAAAGCTGCAATGGAAGGAAGATAGTCCGAGAGAAGAAGATTCTAGAAGTTCACATTGACAAAGGCATGGAAGATGGTCAGAAGATAACATTCCGTGGTGAAGGAGACCAAGAGCCAGGACTAGAGCCTGGAGATATTATCATTGTTTTAGATCAAAAGGATCATGCTGTTTTTACAAGACAAGGAGAAGACCTTTTTATGTGTATAGACATACAGCTGGTTGAAGCATTGTGTGGCTTCCAAAAGCCAATATCCACTCTTGACAACCGAACCATAGTCATCACCTCTCATCCAGGTCAGATTGTCAAGCATGAGGATATTAAACGTGTGTTAAATGAAGGCATGCCAATTATCGTAGACCATATGATAAAAGGGAGCCTAATCATTGAATTTAAGGTTAACTTTCCCGAGAATGGCTTTCTCTCTCCTGAAAAACTCTCTCTGCTGGAAAAACTCCTACCTGAGAGGAAAGAGGTAGAAGAGACTGATGAAATGGATCAAGTAGAACTGGTGGACTTCGATCCAAACCAGGAACGCCGCCGCCATTACAATGGAGAAGCATATGAGGATGACGACCATCACCCCAGAGGCGGGGTTCAGTGTCAGACCTCTTAATGCGGCCATTGAGTCCACTGCACTTAATACGCAGCAAGTGCATACGTGAAGGACTGTAATCATAATATGCTCACTACTTGGCTATTGTTTTTGTTTTAATATTCAACTATAGTAGTGTTTTAAAGTTAAATGAATAAACTCATATAAAAGCTCTGACTTTGCTCTGTATGTATGATGAATTCGGGGTGTAAGGAGAAATTTAATATTTGTAAAAACTGCTTTTGGTTTAAAAAGGAAAAATTTTCTCCCCTAGTGTATGTTAGGCCACATATTGTATTATTTTCAGCTATGCACATGGGATAGCTTAGACTGAAATGCTAGGTATATGTATGACTTTAGTGTATGACCCTTAATTGTTAAGCTCTGGAATTAAAACTCTGTATGTGCAAACTGGCAACTAGAAGAAAATTTTAATTTGTGGAGAAGTGTTGTTTTTTTTTAGAAGTGTTGTTTTGTATAGTTACTTGTAGTGTATGGGATTCATTGTAATACCTCTGCATTTATCTTACTGCCTCAACTGTAAGAAATGGCACAATGTGTATATAGTTTAGCCTTGGGTATCAGTGATGACAGTGATACCTTGCTAAAGAAGGGCTTTTATCACCATATACCGCTGCTTAAGATCACGCACTTTCAGAACGGCATTCCCTTCAACTGTGCCATCTTTCTATTCACCCCTTCTCTTTGGATCATGATAAGTCCCTGAGTTTTCTCACTCCTATAGTCATAGGAGTTGGGTTAAGTCAGAATTGAAGAGACTTTTACGTGGAAAAGTAATTTGCATGTATGAGATTGGAAGGTGTTCTTTAGGTATGTTACAGGCTTACTTCAAATCAGTTATACTCCAGAGTAACTGTAATGATGGTAGTATAGCAAATTATGATAAATAACTTTTAATTGTATGTTTAAAAGTCACCACATGCTTAAATCTTAAATGTTCCCATGCTTAAATGTGCATATCAGAAGTTAGGCAATTCTTGAAATGTACTAATTTTTCCTTAATATATTGATTACAAAGCAAAAAAAAAAAGTTTGGCTCTTAGCTCAGGGAAGCTTTTCTCACTTTTCCTCAATTAAAAAAAAAAACAAAAGATAACCCTTTATGGCAAGAAACAATGAGTGTGATTGTAGCCAACAATCTGAAGGAAACACAAACCGTTAACTGTCACTACTTCTTTTAGTTGAAGATATTACATTCATTAGTTGCAAGTTAATGTGGACCCTTTTCCCTGTGTCTTAAAATAATGCAAAATATGATGCTGAAACCCAGCTAGTGAGAGCATTACTGAGGAATTGCTCAGAATGAAAATGTAAATTAAAATGCCAGGGCTTTTTGCAAGCACTATGTGTTCTTGTTGCACCATAGTCAAGCAGCGAGGCGGGATCTTGCCTTCACCAAAGTTGATGCCTGAGAGGACTCAGACAAGGCAGCCCTCAGCACTTCTTACTTTCTCTGCTCTGTCATCTTAGGGCTCTCATCCTTCCATGATGGAAGATGGAACCCAGAAATGATGTGACTATGATGGGATCCCGTCCCTACTCTGAAGTAGCAGCCAGTTACTAACAGAACTAACACCATTTTGTCTTTCTTGTAACTAACGCTATGTTAATGATTTACTGCAAACTTGTTTTCTTAATTAGGATAGGAATGCTTGGAACTTGCAGAAGAGGCTCAAGCTATTGTAGGAGAATGTTTCATGAGCCTTATTCAGACCATCTGCCAGTCTGTACTGACAAGAAAAGCTGAAAGCCCTAAACTTTCCAAACTGATGCACTGAGAACCAGCATCTGACAAAAACATTTAAAACAAAATTTCAGTTATAGGTCACCTGCAAGCCTACTGATTATTGCCCTTCTCCTTCGTTTCTCTTTCATATGTATTAGACTTCTGGTGAGAGGAAGGCTGGAAAAACCCCAAGTGGCAGCTTGCATTGTTGCAAGCTTCCCTCACTAATCAGCTTCCTAATAAAATCATCACCTCTCTTTTTCCTCACAAGGGACATGGGTCTTTATCTGAGATCAGATGCACCAAGAGCATTAAATTCAAGTTTTGGGGTAACAACTAGAATCTCCACTCACAGCACACATAACTACATGACATTGCAGCACAGACCAACATTCCACGTCCAATACTACACTGTATTCTTCACAGAACTCAAAGATCAGGGAAACAGAAGTTCTACTAAGGAGTTCTGTGCCTGGAACAAAGAAGCTTTGTCCAATATTTCCAATTATTCTTTGCTTGGTGAACATTACAGTTCACCAACCTGTAACAATTATAAGAAAGGCAAAATGGCATTAGTTCTGCTAACTACTGGCTGCTACCTCAGAATGAGGACAGATTCCACTGTAGTCACAGCATTTTTGCATTCTGTCTTCCATCATGGAAGATGAAAAAGAGCAGAGAAAGTAAGAAGTGCTGAGTGGCGCCACAGCAAGACTTCAGATGGTGAGAAGAAAGCCCTTTCTCCAATGCCTTGGTCTGACTGCTTCACAAAATGGCACCGCACATGACGGTTTTAAAGAACAGATACTTATTTTCTCTGCATTTAAGAGGCTACAAGTCTGTATTCGGGTCACCAGCTCTAGGGAAAAGTTCTCTGGCTTTCTGTGGTGAAATGCCTGCCTCTTTTTGGCATCTACTCCTCAATTTCATGAGGGATCTCTGGTGGCTTATTGTTGTTGTTGTTGTTGTTGTTGATTGACTTAGAGTTGAGCATGACTCATAGCGACCCTTTGAACAAAAGGCCTGAAGCCCCTCTACAACTATCAACATTTATCAAAGTTCATAGAGTTTCCGGAGGCATGTTGTTTAGAACGTGGATGCCACTCCTGCTTCTAAACCTGTCATAGTATGTTATTTTTGTTATGTGACGTTGAGTAGCCTGAGATGTATGTTGTTGTTGTTGTTATGTGCCGTCGAGTCGCTTGCGACAGCCCTAAACTCTGCTCTGTCCTGTGCCAATCGCACTGTCTCTGACACACCCATCCCGATTACCCCAGTCACTGAATCAATCCACCTCATAGAGGGTCTTCCCCTCCTGCGCTGTCCTTCCACCCTCCCAAGCATGATGTCCTTCTCTAAGGACCGGTCCCTCCTCACAACATGTCCAAAGTATGTTAGATGGACCCTCTATAGTGACCCTATATACAAACAGCTCTGAACCCTTCCCTGTCCTGAGCCAGTCTCACTAATTCCAACACATCAACACCCATCGCCCAGTCACCATATCAATCCATCTCAACCTGAGTCTCCCTCTCCTGCTCTGTCTGTCCACCCTTTCGAGCATGATGTCCTTCTCCAAGGACTGATCTCTCCTGGCCACGTGCCCAAAGTAAGTGAGATGGAGCATCAAAATTCTAGCCTCCAAAGAGGTGGCTTCGTGGTAAGGAATTGCACTGCCAATCCAAAGGTATAGCATTTGAATCCATCACCCGCTGCTCTGTGGAATAAAGACAAGCAATCTTCTCATACGCAACCTACAGCCTCTGAAAATCTACTCTGGGGGCGGGGGGTGGTGGTTAACGATGACTCATGGGTACCTAACAGCAACCACCTCAATATCCGCATTCCTACATCCTTCTCTGTGAACGCTGGACAACAAATAAGGAAGATAGAAGAATCAGTGCCTTTGAATTGTGGTGTTTGTGAAGAGTACTGAGTATACCACGGACTACAAAAACCAAACAAACAAGAAACCCAACCAAACAAACACAAAAACCCCAGACAAATCTGTCTGAAAGAAGTGCACCTGGTGTGCTCCTTAGAGGCAAGGACAGAGAAACTTTGTCTCACTTACTTTGAGAATATTTTCAGAAGGAACCAGTTCTTAGAGAAATCATACCAGAAAAGGTAGAAAGATGGCAAAAGAGAGGAAGACGCTCTCCATGACGGACCAACACAATAACTCTCACAAAGGACCTGAGCATGCCAGAAATTGTGCAGAATGTGCAGGATAAGGAAAGGTTCAGGTCTGTTGTTTACAGGGTCAGTATGAGACATTGTAGACTTGAGGGCACCTAATAACAGCAACAACTTTGAGTTTAATCTGCCCTTCTTATGTCTCAAAGGTGATTGACTTAAAAGACACCCAGCTTGGATATGATGTTCTTAACATATACTATTCCCAAATGGAATACATCTGCAGTAAAAGGGGTTAGGATCGACAACACCTACTTTGAGAGGACACAGTTCAATCCATAATACCTGGACAGTGAGAGTAGAATGCAGAACAAAGAAGAGGTGGACCAGAATCCCATTATCTGCAAACAGGATCCCAGGAGCACCTGCTGTTTAAGGTAAGAGACACGTGGAAGATAAGGGTCCACAAATTGACCCCCTATTCCATCCATGATATGCACCACTTTCAAAGTCATGGTGTAACATTGGTGTACCATTCACTTCCTAAACAACGTGCCTCCAGAAACTCTATGAACTTTGATAAATGTCAATAGTTGTAGAGTGGCTTCAGGCCTTTTGCTCATAGGGTTGCAATGAGTTGTGCTCAATTCAAAGGTAATCAACAGCAACATACTTGAATATGTCCAAAATACCTTTCATTTACATCAGGTTTTACTACTTATCAAACAAGTTCGTAATCTGAGTAATATTAGGAATGAAATGGGAATACTGAATCACTCTTCTCGGGCTTGATGGCTGTAAAGAGAGCCTCTGGACTGGGGAAGGTGAAGATATTCAGCGGTATGACAAGGACTAGTGACACCAGTGGGGCCCTTTTCCCACCACCCCACACATAATCCTTTGTAATTCTTTGTGTTAATTTTAATAATGAATAATATATAATAAACATAGTTGAAAAGTACTTAAGTGCAGTAGTCCTTAGATTATATGAGTGTAAACAACTAAATTGTTTAATAAAGTTTTCTACATGGAGTTACAATATAATTAGAATATTATTAGTAACTGAGTGGACACCTTTTTTTTTTATGGTGAGAAACATTTCTATTTAGAATTAGCCCGCTGGACTCAGCTTAGATGA